GGTACAATGGCAAGGGGTACAGGTTCGGAGCTTGAAGGTGTACATGAATGGGGGGAAATTACCCTGCAAAAACGCGTCAGATATTCAGTCATCTGGCAAGAGAAATAGATTGTGGGCTCAAGGGCTGCATATGCACTGTGTGACGTAGGAAATGCTGGGGAACTAAAGTAACGAGCGAGTCTGAGTAGCATAACATGAACAAAACGAAACTCACTTGTTACAGAGTTTGAATCATCGAACATCCAACACTCGCAATCATCGCGGCAACGAACGAAACGAATAGAGTCCGCTAAGCTTCGAACAGACGCGGACGTAGTAGGATCTGCAGTGGCGCCGGCGTGTGCATCGTCGTCTTCGAAATTCGGGATAATACTCGCCGTTTGGTTCGGCCAGTGACGAGTCATTCAATGATGATTCAAGAGCATTCAAGGCGTCCCGCGAAATTCGGATTCTCTCAACGTTGACTGGTGAATTTTGGCTTGCTCGAGAATCTCGCGGAGGCTAGCATCATGCATGCGCAATCAGCGACGACGTGGACGCCGCCACAGGCGTTCTCGGTGCATTCGGTCCGAGACAGGATAAAGTAGACGCGATGCGTTCGATTCGGAACGTTTTTTTTCTTGTTCTGTTCAGCAGACGGTCGCGTCAACTGGCCATCATCGTTGGCAACAAATTGCAGCGATTGCGACTGAATTCAAGGTCCGGGATAGTCGCTACATTTCACGAGCGATATATCGTGGTCAGCGCTCAGCTCGGGATACCCAGAGTCATACCAATAGAGGCGACGAATCGACATTGAACAAGGAAGTAAGTAGGAGAGTTGAACGAGTTACGTAACGACGCGTCAGCAGCAGTCAATATGTTACATAATCAGGTACAACTTGGACTGAACCGCCACCTCGTCTTCCTCGTCTCCTTGGAGCTTCGTTTTTAGCTGTGTTCAGTCCTTTTTGCTACCAGTTGGCCCCCTTCGCGCGTCGGGTTGGTTAGCCTTGAACTCTTCGACGCTATCAACCATGGAACCAGGAACCGTGCAAGGCCCAGGCGGCGTCCCCAATTCAAAACCCACGCAGGGGGTCAACAACTCGAATTTTCTTTCAATCCCGATGGACCACAGACGCGTTATATCCTATCTACAGCTGAACCAACCGGCTTCGCACCCCCCTTGGTTCCGGAACCTCTTTGCTCACGATAACTTTAAATAAAGCGTGTTACTTCGAATTTCGACATCGGCGGAGAGTCTTTGACTCCGCCTGTGTGTCTCCGCGCACGAAAGAAGAGCATTATACGGTTCCTATGTACGCTACGTCTGATAGATGCCTCGAAACCGGCGGCCTCGAACACGTCGTGTTGGTTCAAGTCGAATCGGAAGGCGAATCATTGGATTCGCTGCGATAGCTCAAGTCGACTTATTCGAGCTCAGGCATACACAGACGGATATCATAAAAGTCCAGGTCACTGTAGAGACTAGTCTTCCTCCGGCGACTTGACAAGAGAAGCTAATATTTCCGAGTCCTTCTCCTCACCCGCTGTCTCGCGCACGTTGTGTCCTCCATTCCGGCTCACACACCAAATATCGTTCTGTGTGTTCCATAGGTCTGGACGACTTCACTTCTTCGATTCATACCCCACGTTGATTCGTTGATTGAAAGCTTTTCGCTGGATGTACTTTTATAACGTCCGGTCCGATGCCCGGCTAAAATGTGTGTATCCATTCGCGGTCACAGGAAGTTTAACTGACCGACAGACATTTAGCGTTGCGCGCACAGCGCCAGTTGCCCGGCGTAAGTTCTGTGTGAGTTGCCGGTCAAGTCAATTGAAACAAATACAGCGGTAATTCTCGCTTTTCTCTACCGTACTCAGAGCTACCTTTTGAAATTCACTTCATTGCTCCTTGAAGGTACCGGTCGTCTCGGTCGGGTTTCAAGCATTGTGTTAGCCTTTTGCTTGCAAGTATACTGATTCAGCAACCATTTATGCGGTCCGATACCTGCGTGGTGCGCACGTTAACTCTAATTTGAATTCCAATATTAATTTTAGGGTTGCAGTGCGCTGAGATCTATGCAGATACCACGAGATGTAGCCAAGATTAATCCGCTCAGTTCAATCGCGCTATGCATTCCTCTATCCACTGTTCGCACCTCTACTAACGAAACTACCGCTTTGTGTCAATCCGATGGAACTTCATCGTAGCAACAAGCCTGCTACGGCCCGACGTCAAATAGAATCGCCGAGACAGTGTTCCGCTGGACCAGAACGACAGTGTTTTGCTTGTTTTCACAATTGACGCCGGGCAGAGTGCCCCCCTCAGGTGCCGTGTCACTAACACCCGGAGATTGTGATACAGACTCTGGAATAATTCACAACAATCCAGTATTGATTGTTTATCCTCGCCATCCTTAAACGACCTTGAGCAGTCTGTATCTCCACTAAACTCTAGTAACACTCTTGGCTTGGTACGTCCCACATCCATGCCCCGCGTTCATTTTGACAGTTAACTTCCTCTAGAGCGTGAAAGCTCAAATTTCATCTGGTTAAACTTTTCAAGCACGCGTCAAAGAAACTTCAAGATGGTCTTATCAACACCTACAACAAGACGTACGAGCGCTCGGCGTTCGGTGCGCGTTCCGATTTCTCTGAGACTCTGGCTCCATTCTCCTCGCCCACCGGAATCCTGAAAAGGCGAATACATGAATGGAGAAAAGTAGAGTGTGTAGTATGTTGTGGGTGTCGGCTGTTGCGCGTGCCTGTCGCTAACAGCATCTCACTTGCAAGGGACTTTGACCCCCGAGGGGGTACGGCGTTCTGTTGTTTCGCCCTTTCTACACTGCTTGCTTGTTGTTTCCGCGAAACTATGTTCAAGACAACACCGCCATCTGTTCCGTACTTGCACTACCAATCCGATGACGTTTCGGTTTCGGAATGGTTTGCTACGGGTGTGGGGAGTACAGACTGCTTCGGTCAGATCTTTTTAGTCACTTAAAGTGCTGAACGGTCCTCTGCGGGACGGAAAACAGCGGAAACAAAATGCTGAGGCATCCGCCGTGCGAGACCGAGCGGCAAAAATGGCGTGTATTGTGCCGCTCGGTCGTGTTAGCCGCCAGTCTCTTGTCATGTATTTCGTACACTGTGGGGCGCCGGACGTCAGAGACCGTGCGCCGCGTCGCGCCAGAGGCGCCACAGTCTTACAAAAGAAACCGACGAACACTACCGTTGCGTTACCAGCCTGTAGAATGACGAGTTTGTTGGATGCGATAATATCGTACAATACACCACAAGACTGATGCCCAGGTCGACAGCTCAGGGACGAGATTTTGAGGTTGTTGCACACGTTAACGGCTACTAAGCGCGATTGGATCCATGGCTGCAATTCTTGATTGCAAAGAAGGCGGCCGGGCCATGAAAGCGGGAAAAAAAGATTGATCATATACCGTGACTGCTGCGCAATTACTACCGCTACAGTTTCGAAATGCGCCTAGTCTGAATGCAGAATTAGAACAGCATCAACAGTCAATAGCCAGTGCAGACGAACACTCCAACAGCAGACCAACAGAGACCAACGATAGAACAGATAATTGAAGCTCAGTGATGGCGGGATGTTGATCCTGATCTCGAGGCGTTGTTGTATGCGACACGGATGTCAAGTTGGAACAAGACTTTGCGAAGCGAACCAGGCACAGGAGTCTTTGTTCGGTAGGATCTTGAATGGCTGGCTGATCGTCGAGGTAAGGGGAACTTGAATCCTTGGCCTGAGTGTGAAGTTTGTGGTGTTGAAGATACCGGAAACAACGATATTGAGCGATCTTCGGGTACGTCCGACGAAGCGGCCGACAAGTAAGGTCACGCTGTATGAGCAGGTGCTCAAATAAATCTTGGGGGGGGGATTGTGTACAGTTAGTTGACACGCATCTAGGATGAGGAAGAAACCCACAACAAACAAATACCAAACCAGAGCTCGCCGTCGCGGGAAGCGTGTAATTGTTTGGGAGTAAGTTTTTTTTCTTCCAGCTGACGCCCCCTTTTGAGAAGTGGCTGACACAAACAGTCGATTGCGATGAATCACGCCCTTCTCTTCAGTAACAGTTCTCGCAAAGTTTCCGCGAAGAACGTAGCGCAAGAAGGAAGTCTTCCTTGTCCCGAGACAGCCCCGAGCGACGCAGAGGTGAGCGCGAAGAATTAACGGAAGAATTGGCAGTGGGGAAATAGTCGTCGAAGCCGCTGTTGGGGTGTGCAACTGCGAAAGGCTACCGTCATGCCGACAAGATGTGAAATTTGCGAATAGTGGCCATCCACAAGATACGGCCATTGTTGATCCACTTCCAAAGAAATGAAGAACCCAGGACCTCCGGCTTTCAGGAGTGCCGGAGCAAGGGAGGGCCAGAAAACTAGAGGCCGCACCCGAAATAGCGATAGAGAAATACCAAGATGCGGGTCGTTGTGCGGTTGGTCACATTTCGCGTGGTCGGCGCATGTACATATACGAGTTTCGTGCGTTAACTAACAGAACACCGAGACACATCGCATGAATACAGTCCGTCTTGTAGATCCCCAAAAGATTCGAAGCTGATATGTTGGGGAGACGAATAAGCTTGATGTGATAGTCTATCGGTGGGGACTGACAGTCAGCCTGTATCAACGATGCAGATCGTGAAAAATGCTCAGGCTGAGGTGAATCCACCTTCAAACACATTCAATGCGATGGCGGAGGTGACGGTCACGATCAGGTCACAATGATTCCATCAACGTCCATCGATGAGGTCGACCGGATGGCTTCTGGCAACCGCAGTTCGCGTGCTATAACCATGAAAATCGAGGAGGACATGCAGGAGGGGTAGGGGCACATACTGAAGCACGGAGGAAGGCAGGGGATCAAGGGAACCCTCAGAAATCCAAAATTTCAGGTCATCAGTACATAAATGATTCTGAAACGTTTTTCCCCCGTTCTAGAAGCACAATAGGAACGATGGAAGATGCAAAAAGATGCAAAAAGATGCAAAAAGGGGCTCAACCGGGAATTGAACCCGGGACCTCGCCCATGTCAGGTCACGTGACCTATGGCGGTGCTGTAACCGGGTAAACCCGAAGGGCGAATCATACTTCTAGACCATTGAGCCATTGAAATGAGGTAGCCAGAAGATGGTATAGAGTTGGCCAACTACGACGCCGGCGTAGAATGGCGGTGCGACCTGAGCAGAAAATTCCAAAAGACTCCATAGAAAGTGGGATGGGCCTGAGAAACGAAGTATACAGTTAGAAGAGAACATTGTGTCAAGTCAATTGAAATTCTCCCTCAGAATCGCGGAATTTGGGCAGATTGCTTGCGCTCCTTGAGAGGTCAGGTCCTACTACCGTTTTAGGATTCAATGTCGTGTAGTGGCACGGGCTCAAAATGTTGCTAGAGATTCGAGAAATATCAGTGAAGATGCTTTGGCTGAAAAGGTGAAATTCCCAAACTTACTTTGGGTTTGGAGATATGTGTCAACGGACAAGGTGAACACACAGAGAAACAGTGCACTCCGTAGAAAGCAGAGACCTTAAATCGTCAGGGAAGACACACAGTTACCTGAGTTACCTGATGGATATCCATCTTGAAAAGGTGGCCAGTACTGGGACCTATCTAATCGTGCTGACAATATTCTTACTGGGAACAACTAGAGGCACGCAAGCTCGACGGCATCCTTCATGGGAAGAGGATCGGCGCTGCAGTGTGAGGTTTGAAGCTGCAGTCTTTGCGCACCGACTAGTACAACGGGAAAAGGAGCGACGTCTTTGATGTATCTGGTTGGCGAGATCTCCAGCCTGAAAGTGTTCAGGATTGTCGGTTCATTCCAGGCATAGGGAAGCTGTCAGAGTATATGGGCAGTCTTCCAGTCGTTGTGATTCTGGCTGGCATTACTTCAGAATGGTATGCATGTAGTTTCATGACATTGGAGAGTGGGTTGAACGAGGTTGATTAACGAAGTAGTCTGAATTGGTATGGTTAGTGATAGATAAGGCAGTAAAGTAGAAGGGTATATCGGTTCCGCCGCGAGGGATCGGTTAACTTCATGGCGAAACTGAGTATGCGCAGAAGAGCCCATGTCTTGCTGCGAAGCCTTGAGAATCTTCATGAAGGCGTCGTTAACAACGGCAGCGTTAGAGATCTTACCCTCGATTCTACGAACCAGGGTAGCGCAATGAGTCGTGTTACTGGTTGAGATCGACGGCCCAGGCGCGGCACTTCTGAAAGTATTTCTGTAGGGTCTGGTACTAGTAGTAGAAGATTCCTGGATCCATTTCGTAATTCGCAGGCCACACTACGCGATTTTCTCGCTCAGGTATTCAGACGCGAGATTGTGAGGCTTTCTTCCGTAGTTCAAGTCGGAAGACGCGCCTGGAAGCAGGAGAAACCTTATGTGTGGCTGTGCAGTGTGATCTCCACTGATCTCCACTTAACGGTCCATAGCGGTTTGAGATGCCCAAAAGACTGGCGTTCTTTGACGCTACACGCCCTGCTCCATTGCCTCTGATGAACTGCCTCTTCCATCTGCCCACGTTTCTCAAAACCAATCTCAGGATTCAGCTCTTGAGAATGCCCATCATGGAGGCACAGGCATTTAGTGCGGCCAATGAATCCTCTTTCTTCACTCTCTTCGAGCAAGACCGTGCTCCTTCTGCACAGGAACAGAGCGCAATTGAAATGATACTTACGGAGAAGACTGCTAACTTCGACGACCTTCTCTCACAAATTCCCGAGAGACAATGCGGAAAGATAGTCAAAATTCCTCATGGATTGCTCCGCGAACTACAATATTTAGGAGAGTTGATAGCCTTTCATCGGGCGTTGCTCGCACCCTGGCGTCGACTTCCTGTCGAGATCATTTCTCAGATTTTTCAGCTGACTTTGGAGAGTAGAGTTTGTGGCGACGCTTTTGGAAAAGACGATCGCGCAGGCACTTTGCGCCTCTGCAACGTCTGTCCGATATGGAGAGCGATTGCTTTACAAACACCTGCACTATGGAACATTTTGTCCATTCGTTCTCCCATTCGTCCTATGAAATGGGTTTCAACGTGGCTGGAACGTTCGCGATCGCTTCCTGTCGCCCTCGAGCTGCGTTGGGGAGATGGTGTTTATCCACAATTCGTGCTTCCAGTCCTATCGACGTTTGCGATGCATCTCAATCACACTGTTGAACTATCGCTAGGTACACATGGGTGTTAACTTCGGTCAGTATTCTCCTCTGACAAGCTTATACAAGGTCGATTTGCAAATAAGCCGTACCAAAAGCTGATGGACGACCTTTATTCTATCGTCACCTTCAAGCCGCGCATCGAATCAGTACAAGCTCCTCTCCTTTCAACTGTCCGCGTCAATTTGCCTGCAAAGGGCAGCGTATGGAGATGGATTCACGCGGCATGCCATACTTCGCGCTGCGTGTCGCGATTCTCTACGTCCCATCTTGCTCTAGACAGATTCCCAATGGCCAATGTCACCGTCTTGGAGCTGCTTAACCCCCTCCCCATGTTGGAGGTATTTCGGATTTTCGAGGAAGCTTCGAGTATCGAAAAAATCGCCTTTTACACCTATGGGACTGGCGCTGTTTGCTCGCCCCAAAGCCGCCTCGGTATGAAGTCGGTGAAGAGCTTGAGAATAGGGTGCCACGAAGAATTCGGTGAATTTCTGCAGTGCGCCGAGTTCCCCAACCTCGTAGACTTTGCAATCCGCGAGGTAGATGATTGGCCATGCGGCGAGATGGATGCCTTTCTTTCCCGCTGCTCGTGCGCTCTACGGTCCCTCGAAATTTTCGACTGCACTTTGCTTGAAATAGAGGTCATTGAATGCCTACGGCACAAGGCCTGTAATACGCTGGAATCACTCACAGTCATGGATCCCTGTGACCCCGTCCAAGACGCGTTCCTCAAGTATCTCACCTACGAGGGCCCTGACTATCAGCTGCCCTGCCTCACCCATATCCATCTGCAAACGATCTACGCCTCCGATGGCCTGCTTTCAGCGCTCGTGGAGTCGCGTTCCCTTCAGCTGGTGGCTCAGCCATCTTCTGATCAGCTCACACCAGTGCAACTGAATCAGATACAGTTTTCCTTTTTCATGTATCCTAGTTTCAGCCACAAACAAACACATCCCATCGACTGGAAGCGACTCCGAGAATTGGAAAGCATGACGAACGGAAGGCTGGTGATCGTGTGGCCTGCGGCCGAAAGTGATTCAGAAGACGAGGAAGAGGAAGAGAGTGATACAGATGAGGACGAGGACGAGGAAGACACCGAAGATGAAGTAGTGTTCTATTGGGATTGAGCTCCGCCTCACTACTTCGAGACTCGAATTCTCTCAGGCTCCGCCTCATTCACGGAGGAACATAGATCTTTTGAATTCTGACGGAGCCTGTCCGCCATGGTATCGCAAACTAGTTCTCCAATGCACCTGTATGAGATCTCTCTTTCCCATCGATCGCATACTACGAACACTCCGCCTGCTTTCGCCTATGCTGGAACAAATGTTCTCTACCCGAATGCCTGTAATTCAACATCTTCAACAAGGTCAAATTGAATAAAGGTTTCGAATCATTCCAGACCTCGCGGTGTCCACCAATGCCCTCGCCACTGAAACTCCAGACATTCTGAAGGACAGAGAACTTTTGTTCGATAATTGAAGGCTGGAATGCAAGATTCGCAGGACACGAGACGCGATAGCCGGCGCGGCCCACCACTTGCCATGAGTCAATATTGTCCAAATGGCTCCGCAAAGATGTAAAGTTATGTCGGTAGCACCGACAGGCAACATTCATCATGTCGGGTCCACCGCAGATGAAGAAACCCCGGATGCCGCATTCGTCCAATCGCACTCAGCAGTAGCAGTATAAGACAACGTCGAGGCCAAGCAGACATCCTTGTCCTAGTTTATCTGAGTCCTTTGTTAGCCAATATGCTGCTTGCTCAACAGCCAAACCTCGTCCAAGCTTTGCTCGGCACCTCCACAGAGAAGTACGGAGTTCCTATAACTCATACTCCCCGTAACTACCAGGCGTTCCCTGGGTCTAAATACGCTCTTCCACACGACACTGAGGAGCAGCAAAGGCATGTCTTCACTTGTGCTGCCAGAAATCAAGTATACTGAGGCGAGCACCAGATTGTTGCTTCAGCACCACACTCTGAAGAGCCTGTTCGAGAACAGAATATTGCTGTGTCCAGTGAGCTTGGACAAAAGCGACAAAGTCCTAGAGATAGGCACTGGACCTGGTAAATTGCCCAACGCCATTCGTCCGCAAAGGTGGAACTGAATATCACGCATAGGGCTCTGGATCATGGATCTCGCATCGACGGTCGACCCTTCGGTCCCTATGGTCGCCGTCGATATCGAGCCGAGATTGTTCCCGATGTCTCCCCCAAAAAACATAGAGTTTCGGGTCGAGTCTGTCACGAATTTGCCAGCGGAATGGACAAACACCTTCTCGCTCATTCATCAACGACTACTGATCCTCGCTCTGCAAGTCCCGCAGTGGCCAAAAGCCATCAGCGAGCACTACCGAGTCCTTCGTCCTGGAGGATGGATCCAACTTGCAGAGTGCACCCCTTGGCACGAAGACAAATACCCCGGAAAACCGTGCATGGAGACACTTACCGGCTTGTACCGGCGCCTCGCGGAACACCGCAACCTCTATGTCGATTGCGTATACGATATACCAAAGATGCTTGAAGAAGCGGGATTTGTCGATATCCAGAGGGAGTCGCGGATGCAACTCCTGGGCAAGTGGGCAGGGGACATCGGAGCTGCCAACGCGATCAACCATGTTGGCGTGCTGCGCGGTATCAAGACTCCAGTTCTTGAGGCTGGTGGATTCGGCGTTGTTGCATCTTCTGAGGAATACGACGCGCTTTTGGAAGGATTGGACAAAGAGTGGAATGAGATCCCGGGGAGCGAGAAGGACTTCATTATTACTTGGGCCAGAAAACCATTGTGATATTGCGTGTTGTAGTTAGTATCCAAGTCGGCTGGGAACTAGAGAATTTGAAGAAACCGACATACAGTCATAAGAGTAAAGAGCAAGGCACGGCGCGTGACACTTCGCGTCCTTGCGCGTCTCTTTCTCCTCCATCTCATCGTCTTCCTCGATGG